ACAATTGCCAAATCCATACAAATGATATTCCCGGATATCCGAAGGCAAGTGTATGATTGAAGCTAGATAGCTTCGAGTGGTTGCTAGCCTAATGACACTCGCGAGTATCATAATAATATTATCATGTTACCGGTTGGAATGAAGGGAGGGAGGGTAACAGCCATCAGTTTGGTTCCGGGGTTCTTAGTCCGGCCAAGACTAAGCTAACAATCGATTTTCCCACCCTTCATGCCTGTTGTGAAAACTTTCTCTCATCAGACGCCTGCTGTCGACAACCTTATCGTAACGACAACATCCACGACATAGCTCTTGCCAAGGACATTTTCAACATGGTTTAGGTCGTCTTCTCGCTTTTCCTGCTTGCTTTCTCGATTCTAAATGCCTCAGCGTTTCTTGCCCAAATCATGTTCATACTCTGATTCAATCCAATTCAACCAATTCCCTGCTACCACCCTTTTCTCTTTCCATAATGCCCCACCAAAAACATGCACTACTTAAGTTTCCCTACCCCTTCTACGCAGTAGAACGCTCAATGGAAGGAACAACTAGTCTATGTGCAAACATCAACCCCATCCCGTCTTTTAACTAAGAGCATTGCTCTCTCCCGTTCCCACTACTGCAGACGTTCTGTCCGTGTAGATTCCTGGGTTGGGGATCAGCTTTGTTGGGAATCGGGACTTGACCATTTTTCCCCCCCGTTTTGATGTTCATTGCGGTCCTCCCCCCCCTTCCTCCATCCCCTCCGTCCTGCTTTTGCCGAAGCGAGGGGAGGTAAGGGGAGGCGATCGGTAGGGACGACGGATGGGAGGTGGTGAGACATGCTGAACCATCTATCACAGTTAGTTTACTTGTATTTCAAAGTTAATTGAAGTGATCGGTCTCATGATCTGCTATGAGTGAATGAACGAGTGAAGGTCAGGGTGCTCTGCTCTGGTATAAGTCTTTGGGGGTGGAAGTGCAGTACTATAAACAACACTCCACCATGCAGACTCATAGCCCCGCCGCATCGTATCATACCAATCTATCAATATAAAGCTTCACCCAGTCTAATAAACCACCTGCAAGTACGGTACTGTACCCGGTGTAAAGAACCCGAACATTTGAGTCTAAAATTAGTGCGGACGCTCAGTTGTGCGCAGGCAATTTAATATACAAATTTTTGCTCCCTATATTGGTGTTATTTATTTATTTATCCCGAGTTCTCCATGCCGGGTGCTTATACCTCGAACCCACAATTCTTGGGTATGATAACATGACAAAAATATACCGTATCCCGACACTCCCCTGCCGATCACAAGGCCGACCCCCGACCCCTTGAAAGTTGAAACCCGCAGCCTAAAACACGAACAAAGCAATCACATTTGGCATCCATGGATAGCTGCCGTATCGTACAGTACTTGCAGAATACCGTGACTGATTGCCTTCACCAGGACGCCTCATCCGCATTCCGTAATTTTTTTATCCATGGGAAGTGGCAGCGATGTCGATGTTGACTTGATATGCGAGTACTGTGCTGTACGGTACTTGGCGGCCGTCAGTCTGCCTGGGCGGGGGCGAGTGAGTGAGGTATCATACAGTAGGTAGGCAGACAGCGCAGTACAGTACTCCTAACCAGTGTCTTTAATACTCATTTAACAGGGACATAACATCTTTAGCTGTAACTTTATGTGCTCGAGTAAGCTTATTTTTTCATCCTTCTTCCTAGCCTTGCCTCACTTATACTATATATCGAACGAACCCACGATCGGACGTTAGAGTGCCGTCCCCTGCCATGCCAAGGTTTAATAGTACTCGTACACCTTGTTAATAATATTATTTCTACCAGCCAGTGCATCGCGCCGATGACATGACTGCCGGAGCCCCCACCTGCCTTTTGCTATCAATCAACGGTTCTGGAATAGGCGTTACTTACTTGTGCAACAACAATGATTGTAAATTATGGCACGCATCCGGAGATTCCATCTCTGTCCTCAGCAGCTACCCGCATTGCGCCGTGGGGTGGGATGGAGGGGTAGGCCGAGCAGGCACCTATATGCCGTACCGGTATTGTATTATATAGGTTTTTTGCGGTTATCGTTTTCTTTTTTTCTTATTTTTTTTTCCCATTCGTAGCATTTCTTATCCTATTTTCTATTTTTAATTGTTTTTGTGAAGTGTAGACTATGTTGGGGGAATACTGCGCTTTTTTAGCCGTAGTTGAGTTGAGTCCGCCCATCCTTTCTCGTAGCCAGCCTTACTCGTACATTATTATTATACCAACCCTCAATCCGGTTAGGCGTACCCGTGGTTCAAGTATGATAACAAGTACGGTAGGCATGTGATCAAGAATCTAGATGGCAGCTAGGGCAGGCTGATTACCCGCCTACTTCTCTCTGATTCCTACTGCTTACTTTACATCCAATAACAGCAGTGATGCGACTAGTTATGATACCGGTAGTACGAGTACATCTGCCATGATACTGGTACATGATGGACATTCATGATTGGAGTCCGCACACCGCAGGGCAGACTGTCGTATTCGATGTATAATACCGGCACCATTGCGACACCGCCTATAACGAGGCACTTCTTTGCCTAGCAGGTCTATTACAGGTGTATCAACACCATCGTTTCCCCACCCCCTCCCCCTTACTTGTACTCCTTCCTTCCTATTGTAGCATGGGCGGGAGATGTTGGCTCACGTACTCCGCAAGGAAACTCCAGCGGTTTGCGCAGTCATCATTGAAAAAGTTGGGGAAGGAGGTAAAATCCGGGTATCGTCGAGTTATCCCATCGGGGGAGATTGGTGGCTTTTGGTGTTGTATAGGATGGCGTTATGGAGTATTCCGTCGTGATATTCCGTGCGAAAGGGGGTGGATTCACTTGCTTGCTCACCTGAGGTGTAACCTGACTCTGTTGAACCACTCGAGTTAAGGTCCACCACCACCCCTTTCTAAAGAATGGCCCAGTTTTATCCATCGCAGACATCGCACCGTAGCTATGCAGATAGATAGATAAGTCTCACCAAATTTTCTTACTTTACCCCGCAAATTTAGTAATTCTCCCAGGTTACAGGGAGTGGGCCTCAGTATGCAATACGGTACCTACGAGTAGTACAGCTATCCTACGCAGTCGTCCTAGTTTGTAGCTTCTGTCCAGTGCCGCATGATAAGAGCAAGTTAACTCCCAGCACAGCGCCAAGAATCCTGGAACAGTGTAAGGAGGGGTGGCTGGCTGGCAAATGACAATACGAGTATCGTCACAAATCTCATGTTTACTTATTCCCTTGCTCACACTAAAAACTGCTAGTCCGGCGGGTTTACCGGTACGGGTAGTGAAGTCAGTCTAGTTGAAGGGGTACCCTGTCCCGCAGATCATAATATGTTACTCGAGAATTATCAGATGAGGTCATGCCTCCGATGCAACAACCATAAACGGCTGCTGCCCTACCACAAGGAAAAGGGAAGGCCAAAACACTCCAGCAGGGTGATTTAGATGATTTAGAGGTTGGCCTGGTCTGCTCCTTGAGATCTATTAGCATAGTTCCGAGGCAGGTTACGAAGAGGAAAAGTGCCGCAGCCGTGAAGGGGGGGGCAACACAGAGGAGTAATCGCGTTGTACAGTAACTTACCGGTACAGGTAAGGTTTTTAATTTTTAGATTATTTATTTACTTATTTTTTCTTCCACATTGTGCGTTTTTTCTGGGTGAGGGGATGGTAATCTGCCTTGTAGAGTACTGCCTTGTAGAGCACTCGTAAACCCCCCAACACTGTCTTTCTGTCTGCCTATCTGTCTGCTGTGGGACTGGGGTGGTCTTCTTAAACACGTTGTGAATACGAAGAGGATTCACAGAGTGGGTAAGCCTTCTCAATTCTCGCAGAGGACGAGGGCTGCCAAGGGCGGGAACCAGACTGGGAATGTCTTGGTCTAGTCTACCCTTACTCCCTTACTTGTACTGTACTTGGTACTATCGATACAAGCAATTGCTAGCGACGCCTTATCCTTTTAAGCGTGCTCGGCACCACTATCGGCACGACGTGCGCTATACGGATCGGTTGTTTGAAACATTTCTCTAGCGAAAGATTCGCCTCATGTTTCTCCACAAAACAAGAACCAGGGCCCTGTGAAACATTTTTTGATCTCGCTTTTCGACGGGTCTTTCCTTTGGGGGGGGGGGGGCAGGCAATACTTAGCTTTCCCAGGTGGATGGAGGGTCCTTTCAAGGATGAATCTAGCCAAAGGCATGAAGGATGATATTCACAATTTTGAACGGATCGTGCTCTGAATTGGAAGAAAATCAAATCAGAAAAAAAGGCAGACTGGTGGGCGCTGTTCTCATCATTGAGACCCACTTCGGGAGGCGTTTTGTGCCTGTGCAGTATAGTGCATCGATCGACTGCAGGCTTTCCTTCATTAGTAGTCTACCACAATACCTGTACCACCTTGTTTATCACCGCTGCATCGCTGCACCATAACCCTCTCCCTACCCCCCTTCACCCTTCCACCGGCTTCTCTGGTGTATCGCGGGGGCATTCAAACGGTTACCTTATGTTCCCTAGGAATTCCCTGGTTGCGAGTGAAGCACAGCTAGTGATGTGAACCCTACCTGATCAAACTTGCTGTCACCTGCGATGGAATAATTTTACGCATCCAGCTTCTGGTTCAAGGGTGCGGGGGTGGATTCGGGGGGGGGGGTATGGTAGTAAAGAGGAGGGGGACAGAGAGTCAAGGATACCCATATCATGCCCACCAATTAAGCTACAATGGTAAATAGGATACTGGAGTAGGAAACCAAGCTAAGTATTTGTGCTACTGGGAAGGTTGACTGGAGTAGGGGAATAGAGATGGAGGGCATTGGGAAAACTAATGAGGGGGAATGAAAGGCTACCGAGCCGAGTGACTAAATTGGAACCTGGATAACAGGGGAGGGAGGACAAAAAGCAAGGTTTACCAGTACAGTACTTGTAATATTTCCTACTGCTTATTTCGTCCATGACATGTTGATCTGGGGGGGGGGCATGATGTCTTGCCTTCTTGTGCACCACACACAGTCCCCAACTCCAATTCTGTGGCGGCTATAAGGTAGCTGATATCCCCCTTCCCCCCCTAATTACCTCTCTCTCCAGTCAAAGAGGATAGGAATCATGTCAAATCCAATTTCTAGCACATTGGGCTCTCCGGATGCGGAGAAACCTCTCTCTGTTGGCCCACATGAGCACCAGCCAGCATCAAAGAACCAACCCGAGGATCTACAAAAGCTCAATTCCAAGCTTGCGCACCCCCTCTCAGGGATCCCACATGAGGAGCTAATGGAAATGGGCGCTTCCTATGCTCGCGAGAACGGTATGGAAGACTTACAAGACGAGTTCAGGAAAGGAGCCCTTCTCGCTCAGAAACCTGAAGCCTTCGATACATTACCATTATTGACGGACGATGACAAATACTACCTACGAAGAGAAGTTACCCACAAGTGGAGTCACCCCAAGGACCTATATCATATGGTTGTAATGTGTTCTATGGCTGCGGCAGTTCAGGGAATGGGTACGTAACCCTTACAAACCTATGGTGTGGACAAGAGTAACCCCTATAATAATATCACTACAGACGAAACCGTCATCAACGGGGCTAACCTTTTCTTTCTCAAACAATTTGGAATTGAGAACCGAGAATGGATTGCTGGTCTCGTTAATTCGGCACCATATTTATCTTGTTTTACCGTCGGTTGTTGGTTAACCCATCCTCTCAACAAGCAATTCGGTCGTCGGAACACTATCTTCATCACTTGCTTTATCTCCTTCGTGACATGCTTATGGCAAGGGTTCGCGAACACATGGCCTCATTTGTTTGTTGCAAGATTTATGTTAGGTTTTGGTATTGGCCCTAAGAGTTCGACTGTCCCGGTTTATGCGGCGGAATGCTCGCCGCCAGCAATTCGAGGTGCTTTGGTTATGATGTGGCAGATGTGTGGCCCCGCGTTTCCCCCATTGCTTTTATTCGCGTTGCTAATGTCCGTTGTCGTTGTAGGTGGACTGCATTTGGTATCATGTTGGGTTATATCGCCGATGTTGCATTTTACAATGTCAAGGACCCACCCCATGTGAGCACCTCCGATGCGTCGGGACAAAGAGAGAAATTCATACTAAGAAAAGCGCTGGCAGATAACCGGTCTCAACTGGCGTCTCATGCTTGCCTCCGCTATGGTCATACCCTTGATTGTTTGCTTTCAGGTCTATTTCTGCGTAGGGTGCCATTTTATATCTTGGCTTTATTTTACGGCTAAACTAATTTCCGGCCCATAGCCTGAGTCCCCCCGTTACGAAATGTTAAAGGGCCGCCATAAGCGCGCTTTCGACTCGCTCGCTCGTCTACGATGGACAAAGGTCCAAGCCGCTAGAGATTTGTTCTACATGCACACTCTTCTGAGGGTCGAAGCCGAGTTGAACAAGAAGAGTGGTTACAAGCTCGTCGAGTTCTTCACTATTGGGCGTAACAGGAGAGCTATGATTGGTTCCGAAATCGTTATGTTTATGCAGCAGGTATGTGAATTCGCCGACGACATTTCCCATCTACCCGAACTGACTTTGGACATAGTTTTGTGGAGTCAACGTTATCGCATACTACTCTTCGGTCATCTTTAAGGAATCTGGGTTTACTGTCATCGATTCCCTATTGGCCAGTCTGGGCTTCGGAATCATTAACTTCCTGTTCGGTGGGTATTGTTTTGCTAATCCTGCGAAACGAGTGCTAACAAGTGACAACAGCTATTCCTGCGGTGTATACCATTGATACCTTCGGTCGCCGATTCCTACTTCTTGTTACGTTCCCACTTATGGGCCTCTTCCTGCTATTCACTGGATCTTCGTTCTGGATTCCCGATAGAGAGGCAAGGATTGGATGTGTTGCCCTTGGAATTGTGAGTGCACTATAGAAATCTTAGCCAATAGGCCAATTAGTCTAACATATTTTAGTATTTGTTCGGGATAGTGTACTCCCCTGGTGAAGGGCCGGTGCCATTCACATACTCAGCAGAAGCGTACCCTCTCTACATCCGTGATCTCGGTATGTCACTCGCTACAGCGACGACATGGGGTTTCAATTGGCTGCTGTCGATGACCTGGCTACCGCTTGTACGAGCATTCAAACCACAAGGAGCCTTTGGATATTACGCAGCATGGAATGGTATTGGGTTTGTTCTGGTTCTGCTCTTCCTGCCCGAGACCAAGGGAAGGACTTTGGAAGAGTTAGACAGAGTGTTCGAGGTTCCTACAAGGAGTCACATGAAGTATGGGTTGGCACAGGTTTGTATCCGGGTCAAAGCATCTACAACAAGAATTAATGCTAAATGCAAACTTTCAGGTTCCATGGTTTTTCAGGCGATACATCTTCCGACAAGATGTCCCAGCCCCCAAGATATTGGAATTAGAAGAATTAGAAGATATAGAGTACCACCCAGACGCCTTCCGGAACGGGAGCAAAGATATAGGTGAGGGGAACAGCGTTTAGGTAGGAACAGAGTTGTTTATGGGTTTTATTTATTCCCTTTGTTTTCAAGATTACCAGTTGGGGAACCCTTTCGAGTTAGTCTATTAGACTAGACGTGCTCTAAGAACTTTTTTTTATCCTATGAAGATTCGTAATAATCCGTGACTATATACCATTTGTTCCATGCTTGTAGTGACATGAATCTACTACCGGTACCCTATCCAGCGTTCGAAAAATACGGTACGGTAAATTACGCTTGGAAGGTAAAATAGGGTAGTGAAAAGCGGCATTTTCCTCCTTAAATTTTGATGCCGGGTAATACAAGTACTGTTTTCCGTCTGAGACAAGGCCACAAGCTGTTCAGACACCCCCCGCCGTACTGTACGAGTACTACCCGTGTACGAGTACTACCCGTTTTCAAAAGTATCAGGGCGCCTTGGCGCTAATACAGGCAGTATTGGCGCCAAGGCGTCCGGATACTTTTGAAAACGGGTAGTACAGTCGTGTCAGTTTAATAATTATACCCCTGCCCGGCAACCACTCAATACCATCACCCCCTCATCCCACTGGCAACTATGGCTCCCCCACTCTACCCAAGTAAAAGAAGATTGGAATAAGGAAATTTATGCCCTGTATAAGCATACAGATATGGGGTATAATAAAATAGCAAAGGCTATTGGGGTCTGCAAGGCTACTGTTCAAAAGGTAGTCACTAGAGCCAAGACAAGAGGTAGAGATACCTATTATGCTTCCAAGCAAGGCCAATCCACCAAGATTACTGATGCCAAAAGAAGAGCAGTAGAGGCTATTATCAATGCCAAGCCTCATTTAGCACTTTGCAAAATTACCCAAAAGGCAAATATTGGTCTTGGCAAGACCACTATTGACAAGATCATTTCAGAAGCTAGTTTTAAGCTTCTGATACCAAGGAAAAAGCCTTTTTAGAGGAAAGGACAGAAGGAGAAGAGAAAGGAGTTTGCTAGGAGAAGAAGGAACTGGAGAGGGGAATGGAATTGGGTGGTTTTTGTTGATGAAGCCACTATCATCTATGATCTAAATCCTGTTAGGAGAAAGGTCAGGATAGGAGCTGGTAAAAAGCTAGAAGAAAAAAACTTGAAGCCTAAATTTAAGTCAGGAAGGACTAGCATTAGTGTCTATGATGCAATAATGAAGGGTATGAGGACTGAGTTAATTCTTGTGAGAAAGAGGAGGGAGGAGGAAAGATCTAGTAAAAGAGACAGACTTAGCCTCAATTCCTACCAATATGCAACTGAGATCCACCAGCCATACCTTATCCCCTTTATAGAAGGTCTGGATAGACCTTCTGACAATATCTACCTAGCTGCAGATAATGCTTCCTGGCATGGTGGTGAGGAAAATTGAAAATTACAAGTAGACTGTGGTTAAAAAAAACGTCCTTGGCCACCCAACTCTCCAGATCTTAACCTTATTGAGAACACCTGGGCACTACTCAAAAGAGCCCTCAGAAAGTGATTCTTCAGATTGGAAAGAAAGCCTCATAGTGCTACTGAATTATTTAAGGAAGCAAAGAAGGAGTGGAATTTGATTCCCTAAGAGACATTGGATGCTTGAATAGAAAGAAGGCCTGAGAGAATTCACACTGTTTTAGATGCAGATGGAGGTTATACAAAATGGTAATTGGATTTCTTTAAAGCTTAGGTCATGTTCTTTCATCTGCTCCTTAATTGGCTTTGTATCTTGATTTTTTGTATAGTTGAATTCATTAAGTGTTGTAGTTGTAGTTGCCAGAAAGGGGTATAATTATTAAATGGATATGACTGTACTTGTACTAGAGATGTTTTGGAACGGAGTGTGGCACAATGGGAAAGTAAAGATTAGGGGTTTCTAAGGAAAGTTCAAGATAAAGAGAAAACAGAAGTTTTAGATTAGTGGACACGAAAATGGCACTAAACAGAATTAAGCGATAGGGGCAAATGAAATGTTTTTAAAAGTGAAATTTTTCATATTTAGCAAGAACATCTGTACACTAAATATACTTCCTGTCTCAATGCAATAATGAAGGAGCAAGATCTAGTACTAAGTTCAAATACAAAGACCATAACCAGCGTCCAATCATTCCCAGAAGCAGGTCCCAGCACTCAACCCACATAGGTTTCAATATTATTAAGAAATAGTTATCAGCTTACGAATGGTATGCATTTAAAGGTTTAGCCTTCCTTTCAGGTAAAAGGTTCCTAAAGTAAAATAATTATCAGTGTACAGAACTGAGTAAGTAGAAGACGTGGATAGATCCAAAGTGGCTAGTGTAACTTTACATAGTCCAAATATGAAGTCAAGTGTACAGAAGGTTGAAAGCATACTAGTAGATCAGAATACCAGAAGACAAGATAGCAAGCAACCTCAAGGCATTTACAGCCAGGAGTAAGATGGCCTAATCATGGAGCTATTATACTATATAGTAACATTTCAACCCATGTACTAGGATAACTATATGCAAAATTTACATCTTTCGAGCCATGGAAAGATAGAGTGTTTTTTATTCGCGATGAGGACCATAAGATGAAGTTGGTTCAAATTTGTTATTTACTAATTAGTCAATACATACTTGTAACACACCACCAATTTTACACAACAATTCAAGAACCTTTCTATGGACTAAATGGACTTGAAATCAATCCCCAAAGATATATAGAATGTTGGAAAAA